ACATACATCCTCCTTAGCCATTTATCATCCCTCCAACCCACAACACACCTACCCACCCACTCATCCATCCATCCATCCATTTACTCATTCATTCATCCACTCACCTACCCTGTCAATCCATCCATCCTTGACATCCACTATGAGTATGGACCAACTGTTGAACACTTGACTTTGTGTTTAATCCTTGTAGGAAAAAAAAATGCTTCCCGACATAAAAAAGCTTATATTAAGGCTTAGGACAAAACTCCCCATGAGGTATCTTTTCTTTTTCATATTCAGTCTACAGGGCATGCTCATTCAAGTTTTCTGTTTTGATGATCTTTAATATAGTCATAGTGGAAAAGTTATACAGGTAAAGTTAAGGCGTGTTTTTCTTCCCATGTGTATAGTCTTCATATGCATCCTATCTGCTCATCTTCATGGATTACAAAGCCATGGGGATTTTATTTCTGTTCTATTACAATGACATAAAGAAATCCTTCTTGTGATGGTTAATTCCGACTGTCAGCTAGGATTTAGATGCACTAAGAATACAAGCCTCTGAAAGTATCTATGAACTGCCTTACTGAAACCAAGGGCAAGTCCAGACTCCAGCAGTTTTAGTTCTCGATTTCAGCACCATTTTTCTTTCCCTTTTCTCCTTTTTTTGGGGGGAGGAGTTAAGTCAACTGAGGTGAGATGATATACCCCAAATGCCCTTATTTGACCAGTCACCTCCTGCTCCTGTCACAATAACTTCCCTGCCACGATGATTGTGTCCCCTGGAACTGTGATCCAAACCAACCTTCCTTTCTTCCCTAATGCTTTTGTCAGGTATTTTGCCAAAGTAATGCAATGAGACTACTATACTAGTCTTAAAATAAAATGACCACTAGGTGGCATTTGAGATTGTTAGTAATTTTCTGCATAACCGAGTTTCTCTCTGGTTTTCCAGTGTTCTCCCCATCCCCAGCTCCTGGTCTGCGGATCAGGGCTCTATACTCATATACTCAGATCACCTATCTTATTCTAAGATGTCCTGGGAAATTGTACACACTTCCATAGCTTAATTCCCCAGCACAAAGAAGTGGGTTCCAGATCCCCTCTCTAACTGAGGTCTCTTCCCCTAATACTAGTTCCAGACTCCAAGTGTTATAAAAATAGCCCCTCCTCAGTGCCCCTCGGATGTTACCAACACCACACACCTTAACCCGGAACCATCTCCCCCAGCCTGTACTGATCCACTTTGGGAGTCCTGGCCCCCATTAATTGACTTTTCCTGTGCTCATGCCTAGGTCTAAACATTTAGGTTTGATCACTGTTTGTCTCCAACTGCCTTACTGAAACCAAGGGCAAGTCCTGACTCCAGTAGTTTTAGTTCTCGATTTCAGCACCATTTTTTAGAGGTCACATAGCTCAGCAATGCTCCCACTTGCTGTACGGCAAAAGGCACCAAAACATGTAGACCTCAACGGTATCAGGTGCATTAAAGGGTACTTTTGTCTATGCCAAATCACTTGAAACCTCTGGTTCAGCACTGCAGGGAGGGGAAGGGGCTAGCCAGCAGGGAAGAGAATTCCAGCCCAGTTCCAGCTTGACATTCCTGTCCTGCAACCAAGGCATGTGGTGTCTTCAGCAATAAAGTTTACTGCTAGTTCTTCCTGCTGACTGCCCGTATTGTTTTGGGTGCCTTGGGAGACACTCTGACCAGCTCCCAGGGAGACAGCCCACCCTTGGCACTGGTGTTTTTATTACTAACCTATGGCTGCTGGGAACAGCTTTATCCATTGACAAAGGTACAGTACCCATATTCAGGTTTTTTTGTGTATCTCTTACTTTATATTTTAGCTTACCAACAATCATACATCACTAGTTTGATTCACCCTTACCTCTGCTTCCCACCCTAGCCGCTCCATCTCCAGTATTCCCCTTTCATCTGAGATCATTCAACCACCATCCCCATATTAATCTTGCCCCCTTCTCATGGGCCCCTTTCTGCTTTCCTGGGCTCCGGACACACACACTCGTACAGAAATATGCACATATAAAAGAAGTTAGGATCCAGATACAAGAGAGAACATGTGGAGTTGTCTTACTGAGTCCAAGCTACCTTATTTAATGTATTTTCCGGTTCTATTCATTTTCATCTGTTGGTATGCTGACTCCGAGTCTTTACTATTATGCAGAGCAGCAATAACAAGACTACGCAAGCATCTCTATAGTAGGATGAACAAAAAGAAAAGCATTCTACCCACCGAACTACCCCCAGAAACTCCCTGATTGAAGACACTGAAAGCACGTGGAAGTCATGTTCAACATGTTATTCTAGACCCCCCCCCTTTTCCCCTGAGACATAGTCTTATGTAGCTCAGGCTGGCCTCAAATGCACATGCTCTTCCTGCTTCCATCCCAAGTGCATCCAGTCAGTATCTTGTCCTTGAAGGAGCTCAGGAAAAAAGCACTGTCAACTCTCTTTGCAACTTTGCTCTGTGGTTGAGATTGCCCAAAATGGGAGGGGGCAGCAAAGAAAGCCCCAAGACCCAGAGAGAAGAGTGACAAGACAAAAATCAGACTACATAACCTTGATAATTGCAACTGTGTCACCATATAGGGCATTCTGATTTGGTTTCTTGGTTGCTGAGTTTGTTTCACTTTTTTGAAACAGGATTTCCTTATGTAGCCCAGGTTGGCCTTGAATTCAAAATTCACCTGCCTCTGCCTCAAGAGGGCTGCGATTGCAGGTTTCTGCCTCCTGTACAGGGGCTTTGGTATGTGGACAAAACCTAATCTTCCAGAAGATTCCAGAATTACATGGAAGTGATGTATCATGAAAAAGATAAAGTCACTAATTTAAAAAATTTGCTAATTTGAAAAAAGTTTGGATCCATTCATCTTTCTATACACAAACACGAATTTTATATAGACCAGTCAAATACTTAAAAAATCAAATGCCTGAAGTAATGACACTCATTTAGCAAGGAGCACAGTTAGAATGTAGTTCAGTTTCTAGATGTCATTCCCTGGTTGAATTCTCCTCGGAGAAATGGCTGATTACCCACTCAAAACAGCTGGCCACTTCACTGGGTGTTACACTGTTACAGCTCGAATGGGAATGGTCCCCAGCCATAGTGCTATTTTGAGAGGTTGTAGAACACTGTGGATGCAGGGTGCAGTTGGCAGACCTTGGGCAGCAGGAGCAGGGCTAACGGACAGTCTGCCCTGTTCCTGCCAGTTGGAGATGTCTGCCTCTTGACTATCACTCATGAATTAGCTACTTCACACTCCTGCCATAGACACAAGGGTACACTCTGATGTGACTTCTCCAACCCAACTCACTGCACTCTCTCAAACCATGAAGCAAGTCCTTCCCTCTCAAGTTGCTTCTTCAGGTATTTTATCAGAGTGACAAGGAAAAATGACTAATTGTTTTAGTAACGATGATCTTCCAACTTTGTCTTTTCTTTTCCGTTTTTTTTTTTTTTTTTTTTTTGGTTTTTCAAGACAGGATTTCTCTGTATTGTTTTGGAGGCTATCCTGGAACTCTCTCAGTAGAGCAGGCTGGTCTCGAACTCAAAGAGATCCACCTGCCTCTGCCTCCCAAGTGCTGGAATTAAAGGCGTGCGCCACCAATGCCTAGCTAACTTTGTCTTTTTGTAAGACTTCAATTTATGTGTGTCTGTGTGTATGCCATGTATTTATGGGTACCTGGAGAAGCTAGAAGAGGGAGTCAGAACCTCTGGAGCTGTTGTGAGATGTCAAATATACGTTGCTGGAAACTGAACACATGTATCATGACACCATTATCTACAAATGTGGTGGGCTAAGTAAGGCCATACCTACTCTGGAGACACGAGGTCCACAGGCATCAAAACATACCTAAATGGTTACATGGGTAACTCAGAACTGTCGGCTGGAAAAATTCAGAATTCTCAAGTTGACAGGCGAAAAATATTCATAAAAAGACAGGCTTGTCCCACATCCTTGCCCATCAGATTAGCAGTGACAGAGGGAAAGAAGGAGGGAGATCCTGCATCTTTTTTCTCCTACTTCCCCACATTGCTCCTCACACAGAAAACTGGTTCTAAACACTTCTAGCAAAGACGCTCATTTCTTAACCCAATATTTCTTCTCTGGTATCCAAGCCTGGGTCAGTTCACCTTGAATGTATCCACTTGGTGGATCCAGCCTTCCATCTGCAAGCCAGCAATGGCACAGACCACACCTCACTGACAGAGAGACTCAACTGTCATCACTCCCTACTGAACCTGTCCTCCAATTAGCCTAGGTTAATTATTCAGGAAGCTTTTTTTATATATATGAGGAATTTGTCCACAACCTTTGGAAAATGAAATGCTAAAAACTTCACTGTTACGGTATGGTAACGTATGAGACCCTTTGCCTAAGCAAGGAAAAAAAAATCACAACTTGATCCATTTATCTTTTGTTTTCCCTGTTTAGACTTGCTTGTATGTACACGATTTCAAGACTGGCCACTTGCTATCAGATAACCATTTCCTGGGTTCATCCCTGGGACAGACTGATTCTCCCTCTCTCAGCAATCATCCATGTTGCCATGTCAACTGGTTCTGTCATTGTTCAGGTCTTGTTTAGGCCACCATATTATTATGTCACCATAGGTGTAGATTCTGTCATTTCCAAGTACCACACTCTCGAAACAGCCTTCCCGGTCCTCTGGCTCTTAGAACTCTGACACTCTTTCTGTCCGCCCCACCCTATGTTCCTTGAGCCTTACATCTGGGGCTGTGTTGTGCTGTGTCATTTAGTACTGGGCACCCCAAGGTCAGTTGTTCTTTGCATTTTGGCCAGTAAGGAATTTCTGTTATGGCTTCTGTCTGCAACAGAGAGAAGTTTCCTTAATGAAGATGAGAGGAAAACTAATCTGTGAGTATAAGGGTAAGTATTTAGCATGAAGTTAGGGATTCTGATAGTTTAGTAAAGTGACAGTAGAAGGTTCTTGAAGATCCTCATTTGTTTTTTCCCCAAAAGAAAAACATTCAAAGTAAAACATGAACATTTAATTGCCTTTAAATAATACATGAAATAATTTACATGCTATACATCCCAAAACACAATGAACATAAATCCAATTTTATAAGACATTTACACAGACTTTTGTCAACATATGTCCTGTATGTTACCCAGGATGTTATCTATGTGTGAGCATGTAAACACATATGTACATGTGAAGTTGAAGATTAGCATAATGAACCAAAATGATGACTATACGAAGTCTGCCATAGAAGAGTCAAAAACCACAACCTGATGGAACCAAGGCACAAAAGCTTCCTGTTGTGGCCACAGAGATTAAGTTTCCTTTCTCAATGTCTAAACACCATTAATTATATGCTATAGTTTTATAGTACATTTCTGTTACTTTTTAAAATGCAGTGTTTTTATTACATAAGGTCTTATGGAAGTGAACTGGAAAAATAAACAGAACTAGATAAAAATCACATACAATAAAGCTTTCTTCTTTTTCAAAACTAATATAAGAAATATTACAGATATAGGTGCAATCAGGAGATATGTAAAATAAGTTATGCAGATTTCTTAGTGCCCTTGAACTGTACCTCGTGTCATTTGTTTAAAAGCCAGCTGGTAATACTGTCAATAGAAAGTGGTTTTTGGAAAAGATATGTATATCCTAGTGCACAGAATAAACAATGACCATAACAAAGCAAACAAAATCCTTTTCAGAGTTCAAGCTGCTTTTGTTGGACATTAACCAGCTCCCCTCAGTGTGCTCCCTTCCTGTCCCTTCTATATTTAAGAGAAAAGAAATATATTTCACATAAAAATGATTGCTTTCAAAAATCACATAACCAAGCAAAATCTCCACTCTCCATATGCCCCTTTTCGCTTTACCTCAAAGTGTGTAGGTAGGGACACGAAAGAGAAATGTTCTAGGAAATCAGGCAGTTACATGTAGTTAGCACTCAGAACGCTCTAGAGCCTCGCCACTTTAAGTGGACAGTTCTCAAAGGAGTAAAGCACGAAGCAAGAGCTAACAGAATACAGTAATCCCAAAGTAAATGCCAAATGTGCTTATACTTGTCTAAGAAATCAGTCCTCTAAGCTGCAAATAATGAACTGTCAGCTGCAGCTTGAAACAAATGACAACCAGAACAAAGCCTCAGAGGTGCTAACTTTGAATACGGTTGGGGTTGGCCAATTACGATTTACTGGAGTCTACAGCTTTCTATGCAGGAGCACTGCAGCGTACAACCCTCAAGTAATGAGAGTGCAGTTCTTTTCATAAAGTAAGGCTGAATAAAGGAGAAATTAGACATCATGCCCTTGGCTGTAAAACCTAAAGAATAAACTGAGAATTTACTTTAAGGCCATTTCAGAAGTACTTCTCATGGCACTTCAATGTTAAAACATCACTAAATGGCAAAATCCACAAACAGTCACACGTCTCCTGACGCACATGCCATGTCAGTCATTAAGGGTTCGCATTATTAGGTCTGTCCTCTCAGAGTTAAATTACACTTAAAGAAAGCGAATTGAGCTCGGCTGTAACTAACATCTGATCAACAGACTGTCACCTCACTGGTGTATTGTGCAAGTCATTCCCAGTACATGCACCCAACACCACTCACTTCCTACAGAGATAAGTATCGCTCTTACTACAAGCAGCACTTAGCCGACATATTCCTCTCAAGAGCAGTTATGATCCTTTCTTCAACTGTTCACCTGCTGTTAAGCCCCAAATCACTGAATAAATCCCCCTGCCCACGTGTACAAACCATTCTCACGAGTACATATTTCTTACACTACAGTCAGTCCAGGAGACACTTGAAGGAATCTAACAAGTCATTCTTGCCACACCATACTCCAAGCTGACCACCGCAGGCTCCGACTTAGAAAACTCCTCAGGGAAGTCACAGTACCGATTATCTGCTGGGTTGCTGCCCTCTATAGCCCGAAGTGTGTCATTCACCGGAAGCAGACTCTGCTCTTTCAGACACAGGGAGGTTTTGAGGGCAGGTGATTCAGGGTGCGGATGCAGCAAGTCCTTCGTTAGGATGCCATTTTTGCATTGTGTAATTTTCTAAAACAGAACATTGAAAAAGCATTAGTAACTATAGAAAATAGGTAATCAAGCTACGTTAAGTGAAGAAAACCTGCTTTTGAAAGTGTTCCCCTTGTACATGCTACACAGTTATAAACTCAGTAACAAAAAATCCCAATAGCTTAAAACTTCTCAAGGAAAATGCATCAAGTTTTTACATTTGTCAATCAAGTCAGCCAGATTTGACTGGAAAGATCTCACAGTTTTCAGATATCAGAAGTGTACATATTACTTAAGAGTTTAACATGCAATCATTTTATAAGGACAGGGATGTAGAGAACATGCTCAACCTGAAGTCACTATAACACAACGACCATACCTTATTCAGCTGAAGGTCCTGCTGACAATGACAAGATCCTCACAGGGTGTCCCTCACTAAGGGTCGCCACGTGACCTTTGGAAGGTCACACAATCTTATTTTTTTTTAAACATAAGATTTAAAGTGCCAAATCAACTGTCTCTAGACAGTTGTCTCAAGCTGCCTATGTCTTGCCCTTCCTTGAGTTAACACTAACATGTAGCCTACAGTTTACTTAACCAGTCACTACTTTCTCATCTAAGAGACAATGAAAATCATTTGCCTCAGAGGCAATCAGGATGGTCTCCCTGAACAAAAACAACTGTCTTACATACATACATACATACATACACACACACACACACATATTTGTTCATCCTTTTTGGTTATATATGATGACAGAGAAATGATTACAGGAAAATCTTATCATAGAGAGCTATTTAACAGAGCATATGAAGATAATAGTAAGGTGGAAATGAGAAGAATAGGCCAGACAAAGGTATTTTTAATAAACCTAGCTGATGGGGATGTTTTCTGTACACATGTTTCTCTTATTGGTTGCTGAATAAAGCACTGTGGCCAATAGGGTAGCAAGACATGCGGGAGTAAGAGATGAGTATTCTGGGAAAGGGAGGCAGGAGCTGGCCAGAGTCATAATGCTGCTGGAGGAGTATCACCATACTGGTCATAATTAATGTAAGTTTCTGAGTATTCATTTGGGGCTGACATGGTTGTGGGACCAGGCTGGTGAGATAGAATGCTCATAACAAAATGGTGCCAGCTATGTGTGGCATGAATTTCCATGTAAACCTGACATAAGCTTAAAAAGGGATTTTAGAAACAAAGAACAGAGACAAGCACAGTTTCTTGATAGCATTATTTTCTCGGGTGGGCTCTGTCTTGCTAGAGACAAGCAGAGACTTGCAGCTCCTTTAAGGGAGGTTTTCTGACTCAGCATAAATGATTTAGCTTTTACTCATAAAGGTTTGAATAGAGGCAGTGAGCCCAGCTCCCAGTGCTGGCGGTAAACTTTTGACTTATGGCCAGAAAAAGATAAAGATAAACAGTAAAGACAGATTCAAAAGCAAAAAGCCTAAAGAATAGTGTGTTTAAAAATATATGTAGGCTTGTGAGAGAAAAGAAACAAGATACCGTGGAAGGGAGGGAGGGGGGAGGGAAAGGAAGGAGGAAAGGAAGGAAGGAAGAGTAGCTGGGAAGGTGGTGACACACACCTTTAATCCTAGCACTCAGGAGGCAGAGGCAAGCAGATGACTGTGATTTCAAGGCCAGCCTGGTCTACAGAGTGAGTTCAAGGGCAGCCATAATTACACAGAGAAACCCTGTCTCAAAAAATGAAAAAATAAAAGAAATAGTTATAATAAAAAAATAAATAAGCCACATAAAGATGGAAAATATGCAGGGAGTCTGGATACTGTATGTTTTTGTGTTATCTTTGAATTTTCTGATTGCTAAAGAAGGAGCAACAACTTCTAAAAGATATTTGATTACAAATGGTGCTGGATTAATCCAACTTATATATTTTGAAAACACTTTGACTTCTAAATTTAAGTATAAGGACAGGTTTCTTAGGAAAAGAGTTTCTTTTTTTTTTGTTTCCATAGAAAATGAAAAGCTGTGGTTTCCTTCCAGACTAATATGGTTTGATGAAGCAAGACCCTTCCTGAAGCAATGGCCCAAGTGATACAACATCTAAATCAGCTGAGATGATGCAGCCTTACACACTACAACAACAAGGACTTGGCCAGGTTTCTCTGTTTTCTAAGGATCCCCATGGTATTTCAGCACCCTCAAACAGCATGAAGCAGTTTGGAGAGAATGATGCCCACATTCCCAAATATTGTTTATAAATGTTTGTTTTCATTTAAATGGAATGGTTATAAATGATTAGTGATCACAACCAATCTCTTTAAAGGAAAAGAAGGGATTTTGATATAGAAATGAATACTTTGTATTAGAATGGATTTTCATTTATTGATAAAAATTTAAGGTCAATTTTGTGATATGTATATTTCTCCTCTTATTTAGGTATTATGATTACATAGATCATTTAAAATGTAATGTATAATTGAGCACAGATTACATACAGTCACCTATAATCGTCAAAACTTATAGTTTTGTAGTTAGGTAGTTAGGTTTTTATAGATATATAGAGATATATTTCAATTGGATAGGCATTCTTTAAACCTTTCAAAGACCTACAGAATATGGCATTTAAATAGGTTTAGGGTTTTTCATGACAGTGCGACACAACTGCTCCTGGCATACCAATTACTTCAGAGAGGAAGATGGACATTGAAGAAGCTTGTTATGGAGTTTGCTTTCGATATAGCAAGACTAGCCATTTGGGTAAGAAACTGTTCTTGCCTGGACTGTTTGACTTTATGCTGTATAACCTGGACATGCAGGACCCACAGGAAAATGACTACTGCACTTACAAAACAGTCCCTGTAGTGTTCCTGATTCATGGAAGAGTCTGCCAGACATTTTGCAGGACACAGAGAAAAATGACTGACAAACTGCCAATATAGGTGGATAGTTTAAAATTTCCTGCTTCACTGAGAAGTCTGCCAGACACACTAGGCCTATAGGCTGAAGATGGATGCCCTAACATTACAGAAGCACTTTGGGTGACTGCAGTTCAGGTAGCGAGATGTCTCTGTCAATTCTAGAGTTTATATACTGTTCTTCTGTGGTCTTTGATGGAGTTGAAGACAGATAGTTATGGCTATGGTTTCCCTTAGTTATGATAAAAGATAAGTTACATATAAAACTTTAGACTCACAAAGATAGGATAGAGTACTTTCTTTAAATATTCTATCTTGCTAAATATTAATGGATAAAATATTGTAATTATAGTTCTTGCTTAATAACTGTTTCTTTTTATTTAGACAGAAAAGAGGAGATGATGAGGATGTCTTCTGTACACATGTTTTTCTTATTGGTTGATGAATAAAACAGTGTGGCCAATATGGCAGCAAGACTGGTGGGACTAGGAAATGAGGAGCATTCTGGGAAAGGGAGGTAGGAACTGGCCAGAGTAGCAATGCTGCCAGAGGAGTAACACCATGCTAGGCACTACCAGGTAAGCCATAGGCTTGTGACAATACGTAGATTGATATAAATGGCTTAATAATTAAGACAGAGCTAGCCAACAAGAAGCCGTAACCAGCGGTCAACAGCATTATAACTAATATAGTGTCCATGTGCTTCTTTGGGCTGAGAAGGGTGGTGGGACCTACCAGGCCAGAAACTTTCACATAACACCTAGCACAGAATTAGTACCTAGTATATAAGGAACCCTGACAAATCAAAAAGAAAAAAGGCAAACAGGTCAAGAGAAAAGTGAATACAATCTGGAAGTTTATTATCAACAAAGGGAAACAAAATGCCCAACAGACTCTCTTCATCGAGGAAACCCAAAATGTAGGACACTTTCACACAATAACTTAAGTATGTTTCTTAGACAACTCAGAATACTTACAGACTCTAGGTCTTTAATGTCTTCCTCTAACTGCTTGTTTTGCTCATTCATATTCATAATTATGTTCAATACAGACTGTCGAGGATGGAGTGTCCGATCAAACTGGTGGTACATGTTTCTCCAAAACCTTTATGACAAAGAAGTTTTTACCAAACACTGTTAGATGGAATAGTGAGCTCTGAAGAGCTCAGTACAGCAGAATGAGAACAGCTCAAATGGCCTGTTCTAAGCTCTATAAACAACTGAGAGGAGTTTGCATACAGTAACAATGAGAACACAGAAACACCAACTGCTCTGATCTGATTAGCACACACTCTACATGGATTCCAAATATCACACTGTTCATAAACATACACTGTTCATTAAAATCAAGAAAATGATGTAAAAATGTGGGAATGCTATCTTCATTTGGTCATTATTGTATACATGTATACAACGATCACACTGCACCCCATAAATGTCTAATTAAAAAAATATTTTTAGGGTCTGGAGAGATGGCTCAATGGTTAAGAGCACTGTCTGCTTTTCCAGAGGACCTGGGTTCAGTTCCCAGCACACATATGAAGGCTCACAACTGTCTATAACTCCCGTTCCCAGGAATCCAATGCCCCCTTCTGGCTTCCATAGGCAGCACACACATACACACGCAAACACACACACACACACACACACACACACACAGAATGTAAATATATACGCACAGGCAAAACACTCATGCAAATAATAAAAATTAATAGTATTTTTTAAAGTTCCCAAAATTTGTTTGAGAAAAATCACATATAAATGCTTCAATGGTGCTAACTTACTTAAAATTGAAAGAAACTGTATTTGGCTCCAAGACTGTCAAGCTCTCAGATTTGGAATTGTAGAGAGGATTTAAGTACTTCTGTTTGTCATCCAAAAGAAAAGGCCACAGGGAGTAAGTCTTCTCCTTCAACCTTAGAGAATAAGGACACCATGAAAGTCTTACCCAGTCATGCACTGCAGTCTGCTAACTCCCAGTTTGCGACTAACAGCTCCTGTCTGAGTTCTGCTTTCCCTGTGTTTTCTCGCTCACTAGTGACCACAGGTAATAGATGTGTCTTGAGCACAGCCGGGTCAACCACTGTTTCTGACCCTTGTCTACACAGCCGTTCTTCTCCCATACCAGGACTGCCCACCCTCACAGCAGGACACCGATGCAGCTTTGCTGCTTATGCTCACAACCCCAGGCTGGGCCATGAGGGCTATGACACAGGACAGAAACACATTTCGGTGGAGGAGTTTGAAATGCCAGCTACGTGCTTGTCTAAAGTACCTGGGTAATGGACAGCTGACTGTAGAGAAGGCATCTACACTAGCAGGTGAGCTTAACAGATGCTGCAGGCATGCACCAGTCCCGTGTGCCCTAAGGTGACCCACAGGTGTGTTCTAAGAATGACTACTAAGAAATACCCATTGCTATTTTCTTCTCATTGTTTGAGGATGTATCAATTGAGAAGTTTCTCCTAAAATAGATTTGTACCCCAAGAAAAATCACCGAGCCAATTATAATAAGTCATCATGACTAGAGCACAAAGCTAATGTCATCTTGTTCCTCATCTGTTACTCCCTTTACACCTTTAGAATTTCCCATGTCTCCTCAGTTCTGCCGTCATTTCTACTGGAACATGGGCTGTCTTCCACCTACAACCAGGGTCAGCCTCTCTATGTTCTAGATTCACTGTTACTGTAGAAATCTAAACTCAGAATCCAAACCCCCAGACTCAAGTTGGTTAGGAAAGAGCGGTGAGGGGTCAAGTGTAGCATTCAGGGCTTCCATGAGATCTCCATCAGAGACACCTTGTAGCAGCCAATGCCAGCAGACATGTTTGCCTCACAGGGAGGAGAGCTATAAACCACCATCTTACCATAGGACAAACACTTTCTGAGAAACGAAATGGAGCACCAAGGGAAATTTCAAGGGCACAACAGAGCGTTCTTGTTCTGAGTACTGGCTCTGTGAGTGTGTGCCCGTGTGTGCGTGCGTGCGTGCGTGCGTGCGTGCGTGTGTGTGTGTGTGTGTGTGTGTGTGTGTGTGTGTATAGGCAGGAAGATTTACTGAGATGGCTACATATCCCATAGTACTTGCCTGGATATTATATTCAAAATATATTTTTGTAATTACCTGGGAGGGTGGCAGATATTAGTAGGGTACTTTAGCTTCAAACACACAACACAAACTCTGAAGCAAATTCAATTCTATCACAGCCATGATTTATGACCTGGGTGGTGCAGGAGGAAAAGGCCCATTTTCATCATCCACTTACTTGAGTTCCTCTCTTTCCTTCTGACAGTTCCCAAGGAAGTTCCCAAACTGGCATGAATGAACATGCTCATGGATCTGAAGAAGAAACGCTTCGTTGAACTCAAAGGCTTGTGGGAACTGCTCAGTCAGATGCCACACACACTCCAAGAACTGAGTAAACACCGGTGAGACTTCCTTTGGGTCACCGTCCAAATGGCCACACCTAGCCCCCCCAGAAAGCACACGCTTTTAAAAATGCCTCCAAAAGAAGTTCACTGCTTAGGTACTGTAAACTTAAACACACAAAACTAATACATACATGTGTCACATATGTAATACAGACATCCCCATCTGTAACCCCTGCTGGAGGACCAGAAATTCAAAGCCAACCTTGCTACAAGGCTGTCTCTGTCTCAGAAAAACCTCAATGGCCAGGAGAATTCACAGGCACTAAAAGAAAGAACTAACAGAGACATTAGGTCCCGCCTCATACAATTTACAGTTCCAGATCTCATGCCACAGAGATGTGCAAATTCCAAAGAAAAGGAACACAGTGTTACAATTTTGCAAAGATATAATTGTCACTCACCTCTCTGAAAATTTATGCCCAAATGATATCCAATCTTTTTCTATTAAAACCTGGTGAGAGAAAAAAAGGGCAAAATCAACTATATAACTTTTTCAACTTTAAAAAAAAGTCACGACAATTCTGCTAAGAACAGAAATTAAGAAAAACACTACAGGTAAAACATGGCCAGAGCCTAGACTACAGTGAGGGTTCAGAAGAGTGAAAATATATACACAGTGCCTTGTGACAAACTCTTTCTGTTGTACTAATTAAAAGCATGCCTGGTAAGGCAGAATTACACTTGTTTTTATACATATAAAAAGGACACCAAAAAACGCTGTAACCCAGCACTTAGAGGCTCAGCCAGGAGAATAGGGAATTTAAGACCTGTCAGGCTTCACAGGGAAACCCTGTCCTGAAATGGAATTTGGGGTGGGGGAAGGGGAACTAGGAAAATGTAAACTAAAAGCCTAATAATGGCCACCTCTGGGTAGCATGGGGGGTATTAAACCATTTGACTTATCTGTACATGTGTTTACATAGACATAAGAAGAATGGTAAGTAAGACCCTGTCTCTTGGGAAATAAAGTCAATGGAAGTGCCAGCTTTTACTCAAATCCCAATGCTTCCGTGCATGCCTCAGACTGAACTACATAGTCGAGTCTTCATGTCATGGATTCTCTATCGACTAACTCCACCAAAATAAGAGATCTTTCTTTCCTTTCCTTTTTTTCTTTTTTTGAACCAACTTGTCAATATGAAGCCCGGGTTGGCCTGAACGCTCCATCCTCCTGTCTGAGCTTCCAAAGGGCAGGAACTAAAGGCATGCACCACAAAGGTAGTGAGAGAACAGATCCCTAATGTTTGCAGTCAGATCTGAAGTAACTTCTTAGCGCCTGACACACCTTAGAATCTCATCACACAGTCACCAAACACACTCTTTGTCAAGATGGTCATGTTTTTTGGCATCTCCGATGTTGGCTCAAGGATGCAGTTTCGTGAGCACATGTACAGCTCTATCATGGATGGTTTTGTCACCTCTACACTGTGACCGTGGGTGGAGATACGGATTTCATCCTGGGCTCTCCACCGTTCTATCCATCCTAACTTAGTATCCTCTCCAGCCTGCTCCTCTACTTAGCTCAGAGAAGAGCGGGTACCACCAGACGCTGACTCAGCAGCCTGGAAACCTAGGCAGGGCTCCCATTCTCCACTCCCATTCAGCCCATGACTAGCTTGCACTGGTCCTCCTTTGCCATTGTCCCCTGAGCCCATCACCTCTGTCCACTAGTGTGGGCTCTGCTACCTTCCTTCCATGCCTCCCTCTTCAATTGACCTAATGGTTGCTATACTGGACCCTCAGCCTCCATCCCACTCCCTTCTGACTTCAAGATACCAAGATAACTTTTTACAGAGCATCTCTCTGTAAAGCAGAGAGCTACCACCTGCTCTTTTGTATTATTTAATGGCTCTCATTGCCCAGCGGGGAAAGTACACATCCCAGCATCATCTTCCTCAGGCTCTTACCCTACAATTCCTGTGCAGGAGGCTTACTCTCACACTGCCCCATGCATCACCTACATCTCCTAAAGGGGCTCTGCTGAGCTCCTGGTCATTTCTTACATGGCTTCATTCAAAAGCCTGGCAAATGAGCTAAGAATAACATTCCTCACTTATATTCAGAAAGTAGGCTTGATGTTTTTTATAAGCACTATTTTCGTGTACTTTTCTTATTTCCATTTAGTTTGTTGTTATTTCCATTTAATTTGGTTGATAATGGAGCCAAATAACGCTGCTGACCCTTGCTTGTCATAGGACACTGTTTAATACTTACAAGCTTAAAAACCTCTCTATTATCTGGTCATGTACTCACTGTGTATTTCTATGTAACTTTTTTTGTTTCTAGATAGGGTTCACGGAGCTCAGACTGGTCTCAAACTGATAACATACTAAAGGATGACCTTGAACTCCTGACTCTCCTGTCTTCATCTCCCAAATGCTATGCTTACAGGCTCAGCTTAATATACCTAGCTTAACAAGTAAAATTTGAAAGATAATCTAATGAAATACAGAATAGAAAATAAACAGAAGATGAAATCCTGCCTAGAAGAAAATTGTTCAACTAGAAATTTGGTTTCACAGACAGAAATGACACCATGGTGCTTCACTTAACATCAAGGTGCTATCAATGAGCATTCTCTCAGCAAGATTTAAATGAAGTTCACTACTGTAGTTTACACATTACTTTTGTTAGGTAAAGTGGGAGAAAATATCAACAATTCTGTTATTAACACTTTAGGACAGTGGGGTGTATATGTGTTTGTGCGCACATGTGCTCGCACACACGCAAACCTCTAGATCTGAAGTATTTTGCCAAGAAATGTGGCATAATTGAGATCAGTCTAACTGCAGGTCCTCTGCCGCAGAAGCACTGACATCAAGGGCCCAAGGATCTTTAACCACAGCTGTCCTTTGCAGGGTCAACTGCTTAGCAGAATCTCCAAGCTGCAAGACCTTAGTATAAAACTGTCTTTAGCTAAATCATTGGGTCCAATGGAATCAATCCTTACCATGAATCCTTTCAGTGTCCTGTAGTAGGAATCCAACAAGAGCGAGCCGAGGGAACAAACTTGGGAAGTCCTATCCCACCCATCTGAACAGTGGACCAGCACACTTGCATTTTCAACCACTATTGCCTGGGGGGAAAATGACACACTCAGATTCCTGTAAAATACCCTTTACATAAATCAGCAAGGTTGCATACTAAAACCCACACCAGAGGATAGATACACATTATAAAGAAGAGCTGGCCCTGCAATGACACCGCTGCCCCATCAATTAAAACAACAAACAACAAAAACAAAGTAAGTAAACAAAAAAACGTTGCTTCTAAGTATGCGGGGATTGTAAACCACCATATGATTTACCACTTCAAACTGAAGTGGACTCCATTAAATAGGCAAAGAAGAGCAAAGGTTGTCTGAGCAGAACAGACCTCTGTACCAAGGCTAAGTCCATTCCTTCCCAAACATGACAAACCCCAAACCAATGAGAGACAGTTACCTTGGCTAAGAAGATTGCAGCGTCCAAAACAGCCTTGATATGGCGAAGCCATCCTGAGCTCTCCAAACCAGAGTAGAAATCATTGACAGAAAGACCCTTGTTGCCATTCACTATGAAACAGGGAGGAAGGCTTCAATTAGAATGGGCCTAGAGCTCCCACTCACCCTTTCAGGATATCTCAAGGGAAGTGAATTGCAGAACTTGCATATAAACAAACCATATTAGAGGCCAAATAATGCTTTGGGGGACATTTTTCTGTCCTTCCTTAGGCTTAAAAGAAATGTTCAATTACCTTTTAAACAGGTAGTGCAAATGTTGAAATATTTTATATTTTATTTAAAATTACATCATAACTAGAATGTACTGACTATTCAGTGATCTCTAACAATAGGGATCTATAAAACCATTAGAGGCATGCAGATAGAGAAGCTACCACCCAAAATGGGGTTACTGAGCACCTGAAATGTGGCTAAGCCAAAGTGAGATATAAGTATAAAAACATTACTGCTTTCTAAGACTTGATGACAATAAAAGATCTGGTTGGTTGTGGTTGTGCATACCTGTGACCCCAGCACCTGAGATGCTGAAGCAAGAGGATTAGCATTTCAAGGTAAGCCTTGGCTACATAGTTAGTTCAAGCTTTGCATTAAATAAAACCCTTCTCAAAAAGCTATGAGTAACCAATTGAGTGAGAGAGAGTTGAGGGGAGGGAGAAGGGAGGAGATGGAGAATGAGGAGAGGGAAGGAAGAAGAGGGAGGTGAGGGGTAGAGAGGCTAGTCTATCAGTTTTTATGTTGACTACATGCTAAACATAATACTTTCACTATATTAGGTATATTACCAACATCAAGCCCATGTTCTCTTTCCTTTTTGAGTGTAAGTGACAGAAAATTCAAAGTCCTATGTGACTATCACTATATCTCTATCTCACAAAGTTTTCTAAAAGTTGTGCAATAATCATACCTTCCAGTAATTTCTGAAGGCTGGATCTCATGACATGAATATTTTCTATTCCAACAAACTGAAATCTAATATTAGAATAGTTGTCTTCGTTTTCATAACCTTTCCCGGCTGCTCTGTTAGCCATTGCATTCAGCTAAAATTCAAAATTTTAGAAATTTACAATCAAAGTATTTTTATCTTTAGTATACCAAAATGCCATAAAAACACTAAGTCACACTTTATAGGCAGGAGAGCATTTAAAGAAACTCATCAAAATTGAATAAGCTACTATTTTTAAGAAGCAAAACTGCCAAGTCATCAGCAGAGAAGAAGGGCCGTGTGGCTGTCACACAGAAACAAGTCTAGTCCAGCAGACTTTGATAACTCAAGAAGATAATTCACTACATTCTCATCAGCTTTCCACATTTCTGTAACAACTCAAAGTTAAAAAGAAAGGGATGGTTTCTATCTAAACCTAGATATGGAGATGGGCAGAGCTGGAGAGCTCGGTTTACAGAATCAGACTATGAGACCAGACCACAGGGGACCTGAGAGCCAGATGTGAACCACGGCTCTATGCTATGCAGCTTGCCTAGGGAGACACAGCGCTAATCCTCAGCTGTGTCTCCTATCTCAGCTGAGTCCTGCACAGCATCAGCCACCGGCCTGGCACAGCTCCAAGAATCGTGTCCAGGATAAACTGCTTCCCTAGAGGAAAAACAGACTGTGGACTGATCACAGGCCCTTAGGGTTCAAGCTTTCTGGTTTCTTTCAAACAGTATGTTAATATAATTGCTTTTATATTCTTTTCGTAAGTGTATGGATGAAGAAAATGGCCTAAACTGGGTGAAAATAACCTAAGGTGAATATGCCTTGGGTTGGTAACAAGTACAGATAAGTTGCACCCACTGACTCAATAGTTATCAGCATCTATGATGACTGAAGTAAAATTAAAATATGGTTCCACATCATCACTACTTAATTTTAAACTTAGAAAAGCAAGTGAAAAGAAAATCAGCATTTTCTGCATCAATGGCAATTATATAAATAAAAACTATTAGGTCTTGAGCTACAAATCACAGTCAGACCTTATCTTCAAAGCTTACATATTAGAATCATCTTTTATATTTAACATTGCCTAAAAAAAGATCATTAGATTACAAGCCTCCAGTAACAAGAAAACACATTTTTTCTTATGAGACACCACCAACTCTTGAGTCCTGAGAAGTCTTTTATATTTAACGAAACAAAAGATTATCAATACCAATTTCTAATTTGTAATGCTTTCTAATTTACTGGAATTACTCTCATCTTCCGTATTTTCCATTGTCTTTTGTGAGATTGCATAGTGATGGAAAATCACTCTAAAACACTACGATTCCTTTCACAATGCTGCCTAAAATCGCTTGTGTTCTATAGTGCTCACTCGCTTTTTCTCATCGCTTTCTCTTATTTTCTCATCATTCCAGATTTTTGAAGAAATCCTCACTATAATTCTGCCAATGTCCTTTTGTGTATCCCACCAGCTCTGCATGCGATGCTATAACAGAAATCAAAATAAAGTTAGCTGTCACCGCTGAAGACTGTAATTACTCTAATTTCAGGGTTTTATGTGAATCAGCTCTTCTGCTGTGCATATAAAAAGAAGCACAGATTTGGATTCAGTCTCAATGACAAGAATTTAGACTTGGACTACAAATACCAGGAGAGCAGCTATTTCCTGTGCATTACAGTTCTCTAGTTCAGTGTTTCCTAGGTTAAATAATTGTTTCCTCTAATTTTTAGTCTTTCAAATTATGGCCAAGTTATTGTAACACATACTGTTTTGTCAATTAACAGTTTTAGTAACAAAGAGAGTAATAAGCTGGGTATGGTGATGAATGCCTATAATTCCAGCATTTAGGAGGTAGAGGCAGAATGGATCAGGATCCTCAGCTACACAGTAAAATGCTTCATGAAACCTTGTCTCAAAAAAACTAAAACAACAGGACACAAGGAAGAAAGAAAATAAGGAAGGAAGGAAGGAAGGAAGGAAGGAAGGAAGGAAGGAAGGAAGGAAGGAAGGAAGAAAACAAAACTAGGGGAGGGTATTAAGATGTAATAAGACAAGAGTTCCAGAATTCTGTATGTGGCAGGGCATGGTGGCACACACCTTTAATCCCAGTACTTGGGAGGCAAAGACAGGAAGATCTCTATGAGTTCTAGGTCAGCCTGGTCTACATAGTGAGTTCTAGAACAGCCAGAGCTACACAGTGAGACCCTGCCATGAAAAAAACAAAAACGAAGCAATTCCAAATGTGTATGTATAGCTATGATATATATATGTGTGTATATGTGTGTATATATGTGAGACAAAAGAAATCATGCCCTAGGACACTGAGAACTGGTCTCCTAATTGGTATCCCTCAGAGGACTGATTTGATTTTCTTCCTAACATTAGCCTGTGTTAATTTAAAACTACAATTCAGGTATGTTATATCTGGGCAAATATATTTATTCCCATCAATTAGAGACATAAACAATAAAGATAACAGTTGCATGGTACTTGGATACATACCTTGGGCCTGGTATCCACAACATACATGTAGTGGTTTCCTGAGTTGGCTGTACTAATGGCTTTAAGTAATTTCTCATCCTCCAGGCACCTGGCACTGAAGCCTGACAATGGCTGACTACATCGACAAATGGCAGCCTAATTTAAAAAGAAAAACCAGATTACACAAAGATTCTAAAAGCTTAGAAAAAGACCCCAAGTGTTAAAATCAAACACACTGTATGTTTTAAAGTCAGCAAGAAAATTAGAAGGCATTAACTTTGGAATATTATTTGATTTAAATACCTTGTCAGAATCTACATGCTGTCTATTCTTCCTGTGGTGGTTTGAATGTAAATGGCCCCCATACTCACTGGGAGAGGCACTACTAGAAGAGTGGCCTTGATGAAGTAGGTGTGGCCTTGGAGGAAGTGTGTCACTGAGAAAGGGCTTTGAGGTCTCAGATGCTCAAGCCAGGCTCAGTATCACACTTCTTCCAGCTGCCTGCTGATCTAGAGGGAGAATCAGCTTTCAGCTCCTTCTCCAGCACCATGTCTGCCTGCACGCCACCATGCTCTCCACCATGATGATAATGGACTAAACCTCTGAACCTGCAATCCAGCCCCAATTAAATATTTTCTTTTATAAGAGTTGCAGTGGTCATGGTGTCTCTTCACAGCAATACATTCTAAGACACTTCCCAATATTCTCTTCTTCTAAGAAAACTAAATATTTCCATACCTATCTTACACACACACACACACACACACACACACACACACACACACACACACACACCAAGATCCTAAGGAGCAGCATTTGGTCAACTGTCTATCAAGGAGGACACACCTGTATTCCAGGTTTAATATGAGCTACAAGATACTTTCAGCTCAAGCTAAAGTCAAGAAGATGGGCTAGCAATACAGAAGGAACAGGAAATTCTAAGATGCTGCTGAACATAGGTGCTGGGAACTGAACTGGAGTCCTCTGGATGGGCAGGAAGCACTCTTAACCACAAGCCATCTTTCCCACCCTTAACAGGAACTTTTAAATTAACATCTCAAGCTGGAAAGATAGCTCAGCAGGTCAGAGCACCTACGGCTCTTCCAGAGGACCGGGTTTTGGGTCCCAGAATCTGCATGGAGATTTACAACCTTTAGTAACTCTGGAAGATCCAATAAGTTATCAGGCATATACCCAGTACACAGACATACGTTCAGGCAAACATCTATCCATGTAAATAACATTAAAATACAAATTAACAACATCTGAAATTTTATTTCCCTACTAAATATCAGAAAGTGAGACATAAAGATGAGAAAAGAAACTCTAAGAGGAGGCATATCTATAAAAAGAAAAGGAGTGACTTATTTTTTACTATATTTTAATTCCTTAAAAAAATTAAAAGCTTTAGAAGCATATCTGTCCCTTCCATCTTATCCGCATCACCTCCTGCTTAACTCTACAGAAACATCCCAATGGTGTATCCTTGAGGGAAAGCATTATAATTACATGTCTGTATATTTTACCTGCACACACAAAATACGACCCCCAAAATTATAATGGCAGAAGAAAATGAGGACTGTTATATTCTTTTTAATGTTCAAGAGTTCTTTCTAGCTGGGCAGTGGAGGCACACGCCTTCAATCCCAGCACTTAGAAGGCAGAAGCAGGAGAATCTCAGTGAGTTCAAGGCCAGCCTGGTGAGTTCCAGGACAGCTGGGACTGTTATACAGAGAAACCCTATCTCAAAAAAAAAAAAAAAAAAAAAAAAAAAGAATCAATAAGTAAATAGATGAGTTCTTTCCTATTTTTCTGAAAAAAAAATTTTAGTCAGTTTTGTATTACTGGATGTGGTGTCCTAGTTCTCAGAGCATAAATAAATTTCTTTGTTATTGTTTTAAAGGAATGTTCTACATGCCTTTTACACCTGTCTTCTCATTACTAAGTAGACCATAGAGTATTTTTAGTCTATCTTTCCAATAAACATTGTATGCCAACAGGGTGTGTCCAAGGTGGCCAGGTAACTCCCAACAGCTTAAGGTAAATTAGAAACTTCTGTTTAACATTACCTGAACAAAGTTCTAACAAATACAAGGTATATGAGGCCACCAAAGAAATGCCAACAGAGGTGTGGTGACATGTGTGGGAACTGGAAACTGCTTTGGGAGAGGAAGTGCCTACTACAGGAAGGAGCAAGGGGAATCTATCAGCAAGGTCATAGTTGGCACCTGCAGGCGCAGGGTGTGGCTAAACACACAGAAAGGTGAGTTTGACCTCCAGACCTTTTTCCCTGGACACAATGTTTAGTCTATAAAGAGGATTAACATCAAGATTGGACCCAGTAATGGATGGGAGTGAAGCCTTGGAGTTCCCTAAACAAGAGGATAGAATATAGTCTACCCGGCAGAATGTGAGCTCCTTCCTAACTGTTACATCACACAATGTCCTTTTGCTGATGCGCCAGCAGAAACACACTGTGGGGAAGCCAAATGCACAGCAGAAAAATAGAAAACCAAAGGCATTCAGCTTCAGGAATGCAAATTTTTAATGACTAGAACATGAGGAGAGGGAGAGGCACACAGAATTCCTTAAACAACAACAACAACAACAAAAGCCTGTCTGCTTGAGAGCTATTGACACCAAATCAGTCAACAGGAAATTAACTAAAGGTATTCAGAAAAGAGAAAGACTCCTTAATGTCAAAACACCATCTCAGAAATAAAGAACCTGAGAGTTGAATGGGAAACAGTTAAGAACTCTTCCAGAAAACAGAAAGACATGGAAAGCAGGAAGGAAAACAGCAGAAATGGAGGATTACACTGGAAGCCTCGCTATCAACTAACAAAAGCTAAAAAGAAAAAATACAAAGAAAATTAAGAGAAAGAAAATGCTGCAGAAACAAAGAAGTATTCCAAGATGAGATCAGAGTTTCTGGGTAGTCTATAAATGGCATGCCAAGGTACATCACTACATAGTGAAATGCTACCTCACACAAAACAAAATGAAACGAAACAAAACAAAACTGTTAGTGTTCTTCCAGATGCTTAGTGTTGCCTGAGTTCATTGCACTTATAAAATAAAAGCAGAAGAGTCTCTTACCTCGGTGCCCTGCCGGCAGTAGGACAGGACTGGAAGTCTGCCCTTGCTCCGGAAGTTGGAGCTACCCATGATCATTGGCAGGATGGCTGACTTTGGAACGTATAGCTCTCTTGGGTAAGTCTCACAGACCTGGGAATATCAAATGAAAGTACTTAACTCCAACCAGGAACCGTGAGGCCAGTGGCAGCATGTGGGCTAACTATAGATTTTCACCTCTCCCTCCTTTCCCCAAGTCAACCCCTCAGTCTCATCCCCAGCGCTATACAGCCTACCTTTTGCTGTGGCCCCATTCTCAGGGGACTAATTAGATCCTGGTGGAACACCCTGTTTTTCTCATGCCCCTCCCCAGCCCATCCCCATTCCTAAGTGTCAGCTCCCAATACCTTCACGTTTTACCTGTACCCCCAGTGACCACACCTATTTGGATCCCAGATAAATTTCCTACCAGGCAGCACACAGCCACCACACGCTACTAAGAACCAGAGAAGAAAAAGAAAGCAACAAAGCATTCACCCAACAAAGACAAGACCAGACATCAGCACCTACAATTACAATAACCCCAAATCAAGATGCCAGAGTGAAAACACAATCATAACAGGCAGGGCAGAATGTCTCCACTAGAGCCCAGCAACCTGATCACAGCAGGCCCTGGGTATTCCAACATAGCTGAAGCACAAGAAAAAGATTTTAAACAGACTGTGAATACAACAGAGGTCTTCTGAGAGGTAATGATTAACTCCCTTAAAGAAAGCTATGAAAACACAAGCAAATAGTGGAAGGAAAAGAATAAAACTGATCAAGACCTGAAAGTGAAAATAGAATCAACAAGGAAAACCCAAACTCAGAAAGTATGGAAATGAAAAATTTAGGAACCACAGAAACACAAGAGAGACTCTCAGACATTGAGAACATGATAGAAGAAGTAGATGTATTGGTAAAGAGTACGTTAAATTTAAAGAAAATACTGGCATAACACATCCAGAAAACCTGGGACACCATGAGGAGACCAAATTTAAGAATAGGAATAGACGAAGGAGAAGAAATCAGATAAGGGGCACAGAAAATATTTTCAACAAAATCATGAAGAAAATTTCCCTAACCTAAAGGAGATGCCTATTAACGTACAAGAAGCATAAAGAACACCAAAAAGGCTGGATTAGAAAGGAAGGTCCCCTCAGCATATAATAATCCAAACACTAAACATACAGAGCAAAGAACGAATATTAAAAACTACAAGGGAAAAAGTAAGTAACACATAAAGGCAGAATTTTATCTGACTTCTCAATGGATTCTAAAAGGTAATAGAACTTAGACAGATGTGCTGAAGACTCTTAAGAGACCACAGATGCAAGTCAAGACTACTCTACCCACCAAAACTTTCAATCACCATAGAAGGAGAAAATAAAGACATTTTATGATAAAACCAAACTTAAGCAGTACTTTATCCACAAATCCACTCCTACAGAAGGTGCTAGAAGGAAAACTCCAACCTAAAGAGGCTAACTCACATCCAAGAACATATGGGGAATAAATAATCACAGACCAGCAAAATCAAGAGGGTAAGTGTGCATGTACACATAATCATACATGCATGTCCATGCATAAGAGTGAGCACACACACACCACCACTGCTGCCACTGCCATCACCATCATCACCACTAAAATATCAGGAAACAAAAATAATTCATCATTGATATCTCTCAATATGAAAGGTCTCAATTCTCCAGTAAAAAGACACAGACTAACAGAATGGATATGTAAAGAGCATCCATCCTTCTGTTGCATCCAAGAAACACACCTTAGCATCAAGGATAGACATTACCTCAGAGTAAAAAATGGAAAAATGATATTCCAAGCAAATGGACCTGAGAAGCAAGCAGTGTAGCCATCTTAATATGTGGCAAAATAGACTTCAAACCAAAACTAATCAGAAGAGACAGGGAAGTGCACTACATATTCATCAAAGGAAAAACACATGCAGAGAACATCGAAATTCTTATCATCTATGTACCAAACACTAGGGCACTCAAGTTCATAAAAGAAACACTATTATACCTTAAATCACACATTAACCTCTACACACTGAAAGAAGGAGACTTCAATACCCTACTCTTACCAACAACAGGTCATCCAGACAAAAACTAAACAGAGAAAGGCTGGAGGTAATGGACATTGTAAACCAAATGGACCTAAAAGATACTTAGATAACATTTCATCCAAACACAAAAGAATGTCTTCTTTTCTGCATCTCAAAATTAGCCAAAGTAAGTCTCAACAATACAGAAAAACTGAAATAACGCCTTATCTAACCACCATGGATTAAAGTTCATATCAACAAGAGAAATAATAGAAAGCTGAAAACTGAACAACTCAAGACCTAATATAAAATGGCTCAGGACGCCAGGCGTTGGTGGCACATGCCTTTAATCTCAGCACACGGGAGGCAGAGGCAGGAGGATCTCTGTGAGTTTGAGACCAGCCTGGTCTACAGAGTGAGTTCCAGGACAGCCTCCAAAGCCACAGAGAAACACTGCCTCAATCCCCCCCCCAAAAAAAAATGGCTAAGGAGAAAAGACTTTCTAGAACTGAATGAAAATGAATACACAATAGACCCAAACTTATGGGTGTTGCAGGATATTTGATCATACTATGAACCCCAAGATAACCTAAATTTCTGGAAAAACCTGCTTCTAGCTGTGGTATGGCCCAGCCCTAGTACACACCTGTAATTTAAGAGTTTTCTGTTTATTTTAAACAGGATTAAATAAAATCAATCATATGTCAAAAGGCAGAGCAATCAACTAGTTAACAGGAAGTAGCCATAGAGAGTAGGAGGAGGTCAGGAAGATGGACAGAGAGATGCACAGGAAGTAGGAGGGAGGAACTTTGATTTTGGAGGTCCTTTTATGTTTGGAACTGTGGAGGAGGGTCAGCTGGCTGCTTTTTCTGCCTCTCTGAGCTAACAGGTTTTCACCCCAGCATCTGGCTCCTGTGTCTTTATTGGTAAAATAGAAAGGACTGAGGCTTACTTAAAACAACAATTGTCTCCCTACACAGACACAGCTGGGCGGCGGCTGCAGAGGTGCAGTAAGATCAGGTGGAGCAACTGTGCCTCAAATATAAAACACATGGGACACAATGAAGGTGGTTCTAAGAGGCAAGTTCCCAGCACTAAGTGCCTACATAGAAAACTGGAGAGAATAAAAGAAACATTGGAGACTAGGCGCTGGTGGCGCACGCCTTTAGTCCCAGCACACAGGAGGCAGAGGCAGGTGGATCTCTCTGAGTTCAATCATGGCCAGCCTGGTCTACAAAGTGAGTTGCAGGATAGCCAGGGCTATACAAAGAAACCCTGTCTCATACCCTACTCTCCCCACACCCACCCCCATCTCCCCCACCCCCGCCAAAAAAATTAGGCGGAAACTATGAGACTAAAAAGAAAACAAAAACATCCCTTTAAAACATTTAAAGAAGTAAGAGCAGCATGCTGTTCTTCAGACAGCTGGGACCCTGCCACAGGTTACCCTCTGGAACTAGTTTCTGACCTGCTCCAGAGCCTGGTTTACCTTGTACTCTCGATTGGCATCAGACAGTTTCCATTTTTCATTAGGCACTCCCATCCTCGCATATTCCTTGGCAAGGTCAATGACCTGCCAGCCCTTCAGTCGTTCGGAATCATTTTGTTTGGGGTTATAAGAAAATGCATAGAGATCTTCATATTTTCCTGTAAAACAATAAAAGTCCATACAATGTAATTTATAAGGCAGTGGAATACAAATAAAACTAATTTTCATGATTTTTCCCTCCTTTTTTCTTCTAATTTTAAGAAGCAGCCAAGACATGAACATACCTGAATCTAATATTTTCTAAGTTCCATAAAACAAATGACTGTAGCTATAGGCATATGTAAAGACCTTAAAGTAAACCATTATGTGGGTGCTGGGAATGAAACTCTGGTCCTCTGGAAGAGCAGACAGTGTTCTTAACCACTGAATCATCTTCTCCAGCCCCAGAATTATCCATTCTTAAAGGTCAGTATGGACCCAAACAGACAAGGACATCAGCATATAACCATCTTTGTACCTTGGTTCCACCTAGGACAATGGAATATAACAGGCTCTGTGCTCTGAGAGAACATGGGCCTGCTCCTACATCACTCATGTGGGCCTCCAACTAAACCACTCAGCTGAAATCCACACAAACAAGTAATCCAAGTCATGCTGGGGACAGAAGCCTTCAGGGCCCCAAGCTTGTGTAATGGTAAGATTCATTTTTAGGGCATCTATACCTCCCACCCTCCATCTACTAAGATGGGGACTGACTCCTGTCTCTGGTGAATCTACTACCTAGTCACTGCTGATAGAGTACCATGCACTTCCACGGCTTTCTATTTAGTAATACCTCTTTCATTAATAGAGAAAACCCACATTTAAAACAAACAAACAAAACAAAACAGTGAGCAACTAGGGAGCTAGGTTGGTCAGTAAAGTGCTTTCTATGAAAACAAGAGGACCTGAGTTCAACCCCAGCACCCAGGTATAAGGCCAGTTGCGATAGCACATGGCTGTAATTCTAGCACTGGAGAGGAAGGGACAGGTGGCTCTCGGGGCTTGCAGCCAGCCAACCTCACCTAAACTGGCAAGTCCCAGGCCCCAAATGACTGTCTCAAACAACAAAGCAGATGGCCCCTAAGTAAAGACACTGGATCCTGGCCTCCATACACAATGTACACATGCGCCAGCACATCTGCGCACACACACAAATACATACACAATGTGCTAGTTTTAGAGTGTTAATATAATCTAAGATAACTTCAGGCTGTACTATAATCATTCTTTACATCATTCTTTCTTTGGACACCATTCTTACAGTTCAAAGCAGTAGTTTCTATTATTTCTAAACCACTGTGGGGCATTTCTAGACCACTGAGGGGATTGACAGTACACAGCCTAAATATAACATAAAGACAAAATAATAACACCTTAAAGTATGCTGGAAAACCCATCTCAATTGAGTATGAGAGCTCTGGCTCTCTAAGAACAACATACCTTGTTTTGACAGTTGCAGCAGAGAGTTGTAAATATCATGGCAGTCTCTTTCCCTGGGAACAATGAAATGCACAATCCTGAAGTTCTTGCACTGAATCACGAGCGGACATCCAGAAGTGGTCAGGGCAAGCTTCTCCACAGAGGCAATATGGTGGTGTAGTATCTACAGCAAAAACAAATGTCCTAGTCAGCAACACACAAGGCGCTGGCATACTGTCTTCTCCAGAGTATATAAATGTGAAGGCTCAAATAAGCCTCAAATGTTATGTTCTAGCACACTTAACACATATCAATGCTTGATGCTTGAGCCAAGACTATGTTGTCATTTTTGTTAGTTTCTTCATGTAAGTATATGCTGGCTGGATGAGGGGCTAGGACCAGAGCTCAGCAGGAGAGTGCCTGCCCGGCATGCACAAGGTCTTGCTTCCCAACCCAACATTACAAAAGTTTCAATTAATCAATGTTTACCAAATGTATGAATAAAAAAAGTCTCACTACAGATTCATGGATTGATGGCATTTGAAAACATAAGACTATTATCCCAAGTGCTCTTGGCATTTTGTTTGCTACTAAAAAATTTACTCTTTCTCAATACCATTTCTAGTCACTTAAAATATTTAAAGAAAACATTTCTGGAGGTTTTAGGTTCCTGAGTGATAAAAATTCAATCACAGAAGAGATCCAACAGTCGTAAATTAACCTTAAAATGAAGTATAATTTGCAGCAACAAACTCCATCCTGTTTAGTAGGCTATTTTTTATATCTGTTTTCAGTGGAAAGGAGAGGGATGGAAAACTATATGTGTGCTATATAATTATAGTATGTTAGTATTAGTAAGTATATTAACTGTACATATTAAACCTAAGGCTGACATGCATGATTAAACACATACAAGTAATAAAGAAAAGCTTGAAAAAGCTTTGATGAGATAAACACTGGGTATGCCATTCCCTTTCCTTCTCACCTTTCAATAATCCAATCTTCACCAACATATCAAAAATGTCAGAAACCTGCATTCACTGCCTTCCATTCAAATACGTGTTTCCAAATGTCCCAATATGCCAACACTCAACACCATGGAACACTGTCAGGGTTACCTGGGTAAAACTCCCTGCTAAAAGGAAGGAATGCGGAAGCACCCAACCCGCAAGCAGCAGAGCCAGCCTCTGAGTCAGTACTGCACCACGGCACTAAGTCCCTTTACTACCCTTTAGACTGGGTGACACTGTCTCCATCAACACATCCCTTGCCTTCAACTTGTGCACCTATAAATAGGGATCACAGAACCTGACATGATCAGGGCTGTAAGAAACGTGGCCAAGGCACTCCCTCTGGAGTACACCACCCCCTTTCCTGTATCTCTGCTTAGGGTGTAATTTGCATTTTCCTTATTTGTCATTTGTTTCTCCACCCTGGAGTATCTCCATGAGAACAGAAGTTTTATGCTAAGACTGGCTATTATTTCCAAAACACCTACAACAGTGATATGAAAACACAGCAGGTATTCAGTACCTATCTGCTAAAGAATGAGTGAGTAAGGGAAGAAAAGGCGGTAGTCATGACAACCCTGAAGAACAGGCTGAGAGGATCAGCAATCCTGGCCGTGTACACATGAAAAGCTACCGCTAACACAGAAGTGAGACAGGCAGAGTGGAGCCGATCGTGAAAAGAGCAGACGGGCAGCTCAACAGCCAGCAGCCCCCACATATCCAGAAGCTTCACGCGAGAGAGCTGGTCCAGTGACAAAGGGAAGGAAGCAGCCAATAAATGGTAGCAAATAAGTGGGATGTCACCCCACACCTCTAAGTCTCTCCCAGATGTGAGGCTAAGAATTGACGTGTGGACACTTGAAAGCTTCAGAAGAAGAAACCACAGAAGCAGCTTCCTTACACTGACACTCAGGGAGGCTTCCTAAGTGTACTACAAATGAAGAAAACCATAAAAGGAAAAACTAAAAAAAAAAAAAACCTATGTTAAAAATGTGAACTTTCGTTAAAAGACGTGTACACAAAAGCATACAAAAGACTAGCTGTAACTGGAAAAGCCAATGATGACACACAATCTGATAAAACATCAAAAGCCAGAACTCTTTGTACAATCAAAAGACAGAGTTGGGGGTGTAGCTCAGTGGTGGAATGTTTGCCTTGCACGTCAAAACCCTTCTCTAGCACAAAAATAAATGAAAATATATTCTAAAAGTCAGTAAATAGAAATAAAAAGGAGAGATAATCTAATAGAAAGAAATAGATAATCTAAGAGCCAAAGCATCCACAGGGATGACGCCTCTGGTCTCAGCAAGCTTACATGCCAGTTGCTCCTCTGAATTAGATAGGCCAGGGTCTTTAAGGAAGCAATGCCACTGTTTCTGAGGAAACAGGAAAACCTAACACTCCACCGAAAGGAGTAATCTGAAACAGCCATTATGAAGGAACAACATGAAAGTTTAAATATGCATTTCTACAAGACCTAGCAATGTCTTCTCACTCCCAGGAAAATGTCCAAGAGAAATCCCCAGCATGTATGTAGAAATAAATTATGTACACAGATTTTGTGAAGCTGCACCCTCAACATCACAGGACTGGGGGCATCAACACCTTCACCCCAGGAAAAAGCCCAAGCTTAACTTTGGCTCTCCCCACACTTCACCACTAATAATCTACTGACTACATGTATTTCCAGTAATATAAGCCATTAAAATATACATCAGACACAGTGGAAGTACATGAGGTTCCTGGGCCATCACTTTTACTGCACTGTGCAATTTCCTGGAGAAACAAACAGTATCTGCTCATGATCTGATGGTCAGCAGCCCACAGCACCTTAAGCAAATTCTTGCAACTGTTCATCTTGCTGCACTAGTAACACAAGAGACTACAAAAATATTTCAGTAGCATACTACGTAGTATGGTAACTCCAAATGCTGTCATCTACACCTTGTGTCTATCTGTGTAAATTCTGATAATTCTGTATAATAGATTTTATAATAGTAAATGAAAAAAAATGACCACATGTTTAATGCATGCATGACATATTTAACTTTTTTTTGATTTATACACTACTTCTATGCTACATGGTTTGCCTGTAAGTTTTTTTTTTTCAAATTGTAGTCTAAAAAGAAAACAAACAAACAGGAAAAGAAAGAAGAGTTGAAGAAACAGCTCGGCAGTTAAGAGCATGTACTGCTCCTGCAGAGAACCTGAGTTCAGTTCCCAGCACCCATGCCAAGTGGCTCACAGCCACCTGTAACTCCAGTTCCAGCAATCTAATGTCCTCTTTTGTACTCCATGGGCACCTGATTCATACATGCACATAGCCCTACACAGAAATACACACATACACATAAAAATAAACCTTAAAACCAAAAGAGAAAAAAAACCAGCATATGAGTGGACCCATACAGTTCAAATCTAACATGTTGCTGAAGCACCCATTGCAATCTGTATATGTGCACTTTTAAACATACTTAAGAGTATGCCTACAATGCATATTTGGACATATATAATAGCTCTAAAAGTATACTGGAACATTTAAAGTTACAAAAAATAAATCTCCAAATGTAATTTGGCATTAAGATACTATGGAATATACTATACAATCCATATGAGTGTTAATATGCACAAACATTACCTAGATTTTTAAAAAACTAAAAGGAAGAACATTTTCTAAGAGGTTAAAAAGTCTAGTATTCTACGTAATTCCATGTCACAAATGATATAAGTGACTCATAGAAGGGAGGTCACTTGAAGACAGAAAAAAAGTTGACTGACCTGTGAGTAGTTACACTGGTCTGTAATCCCAGCTCTCCAGAAGATGACAAGTTCAAGGCCAGCCTGAGCTACATACAAAGCAAGACCATGTCCAAAACAAAAAACAAAAACAAAACTAACAAAAATCAACCAGTCCATCATTACTTCAACAGTAGCTGGTCCTACTACGGTTCACCTTACCCAGGTTTCTTTTTGTTGAGTGTCAATAAATAGCAGATGTGTGGCTGTAAGATACAGGGTTCCCGTCAGTGACTTGTTGTTGGTACTAAAGCGGTCAAGTAACTTCACTTGTTCAACCTAAGAAAGAAAAAGATGTTATTTTTTCATTTCAAATACAGTCTTTTTATTTCTGTTGCTGTGATAAAACACTGACCAAATACAACATACGGGAGGAATAGGTTTGTTTGGCTTATACTTCCAGGTCAAAGTCCATCACTGAGGGAAGTCGGGGCAAAAACGTGAAGCAGAAAATAGGAGCTCAGGCTTGGCTGGCTTGCTTACACAGCCCAATACTATCTGCCGGAGGAATGGGGCTGCATAGTATGCTGGGCCTTCCTACATCAATTAACAATCAAGATTCACAGATGTGCCAACAGACCAATCTAATCCAGGCAATTCCTCAATGATCCTATACCGTGTTAGGTGGATGATAAGGCTAACCAGGACAGTAGTTGAAGGGCTCTAGTAGGTTCCAGCAAGGCAAACAGGGCTCTAGCAGGCCTTGCCCTTCCCCCATTTCCTCTGCTTGCTAAACCATTAAATTACATTCCTAATGCTAGCTACCAAGGTCTATTCCTTTACTTGGCCATTTCCTCCTCCTAAGGCTGAACTACAAGGTTCAACTATCAAAGTACTGAAATACAGCAATCAAAAGTCCCCTTTTGGTTACCCTAATTAACCTGTCCAGTCTAAATTAACCACCTCATCCTAGCATGGAGATTCCTTTTCCCTTTATAAACTGCCATTTGCCTCTGGGTCACACCTGTTTCCTCTCTATCCAGAGGCAAACACCCCTGCCCACTCTCCCTTGTATCCTCTGTCTTTGTCTCTTATTCCCTGCCCTCTGTCCCTCTGGGGCAAATAAATCTCCTTTGTGCTGAGAACTTGGGGTGTCTTGTGTCAACTTTGATGTCCTTTCAGCAATACAAATAAATTTTTCTAATCCCAGGAACTGCATGTATCACTATGCTTTGTTTCTTCTTTCTTGTCCCAAAACACAAGTTGCTTACTATTCAGGGTAAAATTTTATCTGTCTCTTGGAGAAACACGTAAGTCACAAGCAACAGAGATAGTATTTATATGTCAATGTAACCCAGGGAAGGTATTAGGAAACACCAACACTAATGTACAAGGAGTGCAGTGTGTGTAAGCAAAGTACTTTTCACATCTAAGAGCCCATTTTACTGTACATGCTGCCATAGAGAGCACCTAGTATCTGTCGTGCCCCAGTTTCCTACAGGATTGAACCATTTCCACCCTCCTTAATCAGGAAGATAAACAACTGAAATAGATTCAGGAAGTCCCTGAAACTAGCTAGATACACTAGGCCCCTCCCTTCCAGAGTAAGCAATAAAGCCCCTGAGAGTCATTCCCAGACAAGACAAGCTACAAAAAGGGCTCTGAGACCAGACCCTTTGCCAGGAAGAAGTCGAGATTAAAAACCAGCTGCCTTGAGAAGGTTTAGAGCAACCAAGCAGCATAGAGGGGACACTCTCAGCTGAGCAGTGGTGGTGCACAACTTTAATCCCAGCACTGGGAGGCAGAGACCAGCAGACCTCTATTAGTTCGAGGCCAGCCTGGTCTACAGAGTGAGTTCCAGGACAGCTAGTGCTACACAGAGAAACCCTGTCTTGAAAACAAAAATCAAGAAACAGAGACACTCTCCAACCTGTTGAGCTGCCTGCAGGCTGTGCAGTGTGTTCCAGGTCCCCAGTGTTGGGTGGGCTTTGGTGATGTAACTGTCTTGGAGTCATGTGTGATGCTGTAAGTAATCCCTCCCTCACATTGCTGTAAGTAACTACAATAAAACTCATGGCTCACCAAGGTGAACTTCGGTGGTATCCATACTTTGGTTTGTTGTGGGCTCCCTATCTGAGGTGAGTAGAGAGATGTATGTAGTGTCTCCCAAAAAATTCTGTCACATGACACTATTCAAATTTTATCTTAAGTGGAAAATCAAGTAATCACACAAAAGTTCTAGAAGTATATGACTGGGAAGAGTAAATCAGGAAACCACTATTCACAAGCTCCAGTTTATGATCTATATTCCACACACTGCAACAAACAAGGCTGCTATGCAGCCAGCTCTGGCTCTTGCTCTCCTACAAGGCTCTCTTCCACTCAGCACAGTGGCAAGCCTTCTCCTAGACTCACCTATGACCTAACTCGGAGGTAACTCTTACTTACAAAGTTAATTTGTTACTTATGTCACCTTGTCTATTTACTGAGTTCCCAGACACAAACTGTCCTGAGTTGCACTGGCCTCCTATAGTGTCTAGGATGCTGAGATCCACATTACATAAGTAAAATAGCATTCATGTCTATTAATACTGGTGTACATACACACACACACACACACACACACACACACACACACACACACACACACACCCCTCTGCCACAGGAGTGCAGAGTGGGACTGGGACTAGTCAGGAGACTATAGCCTTAAAATTTAACGTCATCCATCTTATAAAAATACACATAAATAAGTGCTACCACCATAGCTTTAAATGTACAGCTCTATCACAGGAGGCTGTGGACAGTTCTTTACAGTGTGTACATCTTCAAACTAGAGTGCTCACCATCATAACATTAATTCTATGTTTTCCTGATGTATTTAATTTTCTCTTACCACAGAACAAAACACTCCCATTATGAAAATATTAATTAGCTGATTGTCACCAGGTGGTGGTGGCACACACACCTTTAATCCAAGAACTCTGGAGGCAGAGGCAGGTGGATCTCTGGGTGTTTGAGGCCTGCTTGGCCTACAGAGTGAGTGCCACGACAGGCTCCAAAGCTACAGAGAAACCCTGTCTTAAAAACCAAAGCAAAAAAACAAAACAAATTAAAAAAAGGTTAATCATCTCACCTTTCTTCAGTCTCCATAATTTACTTCCATGGAGAAAACACTGTTTGAACAATTTAAAACTTACCTGTATTTTTAAAAAAAATTTAATACAATACTTTATTTGCATGGTTAAGATAATAAATTTATTATGGATACTTCCAATTGGAAACTCAGAGATTCAGAGATTATGGCCTAACATACAACTCAGGTCTGACATGGATAACATACAACAAGTGATCATTTTACAATGACTGTCAAGAACGCAGGAAAGCTGGGTGTGGCGGTGTACTGGAGAGGCTGAGGAAGGACGATCAGGAGTTTAAGGCCAATGGGGGAAGGGATATGGGGAGGTGGTAAGAAAGCTTTCTCCTCCATGAAGATTTCTCTTGAAGGTCAACGTTTCTTTCATTGTCTAGGGCCATTCATTTCTTCCTCAAGAAAAAATATGACTTCATTTTATTACATTCAAAACTGAAACTTGAATTTAAACACCTTAAAGACAAACAGGACCAACATCTGTCCATTCCTCTCCAATTGTCAAGACTTGGCTGAAAAGGGACAAAACCAACAACAAAAACCAGGCCATGATGGGCTCTCTCTTACTACCCTTAACAAGAGCAGTAGTGATATGTATGCAGCTTAGGGTTATGGGAAAGTATCAACACCACTGGAGAGATCAATGACTCGGGGTACTTCAAAGAGCTCCTCAGAGAAAATAAAAAGGATTTTAATGGGTGCGGCTATGAACAAACAGGAAGTCTGCTTAAAAGGAAGTCCATATGAAGCCAAACACAGAAATACTTTTCTAGCCCAAGCCTTACACTGTGATTTTTCTTTTTAAAAATATGGTACAAAGCTTGTCTGCACGGGAGACAAACTCAGTTTTCATTCTGGGTTTTAACTACTAGTCCCTCACAACTCTGAATCTGAGGGACAAACTAATATATTCTATGCTGTGCAGGCCTCCTGCAGTGTCCGAGGCAGGAAACTACAGCAAGTGTCTCTATCGGCACTAGTCTCAAAATGAGGAAAAAAGACAGACAGGAAGGCATCTCACATACCCAGATGAAGATTCCGTCTGCCAGTCACTACTACTTTTGCTCAAGGGCTCCTTCTCCTTATTGGAGGGAAGGGGAGTGAGTAGATTTGCTAGATAGCCCAGGCTGCAGTGGACTTTTCCATCCTCTTTTTGTTGTTATTGTCTCGTTTTTATTTTTAGAGACAGGATTTCTCAAGACAGGTTTTGGAGCCTGTCCTGGAACTCGATTTGTAGACCAGCCTGGCCTCAAACTCACAGAGATCTGCCTGCCTCTACCTCCTGAGTGCTGGAATTAAAGTCGTGCGCCACCACCGTCTGGCTTTTTTTTTTTCTTTATTCTTTTCCATCTTCTTGCTGCAGCCTCCTGAGACCTGGGATTGAGGCATTACAGGCATGTCTCACCTTGAGCAGCTAAGGGTTCATTCCCTATATGAATCTTATCCACTATCATTATATTATATTACCATTTTATCATTAGCAAATAGGCTCATTTGCCAATGACTCCCCAAAAGCTGACTGACCGATCCAAGATCTTACTGTTTACTATACATGTAAGAATATTTCCTCACATAGTAAGTATGATAAATTCTTGCCAAACATTATTTTCATTTTTGCAGCTAGCAGTTCCAACCTTGTGGTGTCCTCGCTCCTGAACTAGAATGCTTAGCCTGGCATTATGTTGTCTGCACTTGAACATCTTCAGAGCTCTGACTTACTGATTTCCTTCCCTCCGCTCACAACACAACCCTAATTCTACATTTCACACATGACTTCCATTATGTCATCCACATCAAGTTGCCAGCACTGGAAGTCATCCTACTGACTTCCTGACTCATCCACTCACCTACCTCAGGCTCTGCTCTTTCCGCCAGTATGAGAGCACTGACAAGGCTAAGATGAAAGCCTGTTCAAGTGTATGTCTCTCACTAAAAACCAGTAGGTATCTCGGGCAATCACTACTCCTTTTTTCTCTCCGAGTCCCTCCAAATGGCTTCAATAGCATTTGATACAATGGATGTTTACTGACCTCAGCTGAACTGCCAGGGAGAACTTACTTCTCACAAGTTGAAAACACATGGAAGATGCCCACAGTATACCAGTGAGCCCTTGCTGAAATCAGTCATGGGGTTTATAAAATAGGATTCCTTTGTCTCATTAGTCTGTTATTCCCCATGCCGCCTTTTCCTT